AGAAGGCCATATACACGCTAACTTATTCTATAAAGTATTCACCAGCCCAGACACCAACTAGTTATCCGTCATTTTCTAATTTAAACCGCTGCTAGCACAAACGAAAGGCGTTTAGCTAAAATAATTAGCTCACACAGCGGCTCCAAGCCTTGACTGTAAAGCTTATGGGTCGATAGTGTTATGAAGTTACCGTGATTACTGCACACCCAAAATCTGCATGAGTTCGTTATAAAAGGGGGCGGGGTGGAATTTGTCTGAATCTGCTGAAAATATTTAAAGTCCAGAAGAGAGCATTTCTATGTTTAATGTTGATCAGTTCACTTGGCTGAGTAGATAGACAGTCTTGTTATATTGCTTGTGATACTGTTACATAAGCCTTGAATGGTTGCAACATGGTTTCATAAATAATTTACGCTTTCACGAAAACTTTACAAACTTCACCTCGCATGCTTACGAGAACCGAACAGACAAGGGTTGAAACCAGGGCTGTAGGAATTTTGAGACGAACAGAACCACATTGTGTGTGTGTGTGTGTGTGTGCGCGCGCGCTTGCTCACGCCTCTGTGTGTATCTGCGCGTGAGTTTAAAAAAAACACACAAACATTTTCCTTTTTGATTTTAAGAACATTTAAAACTTTCAACACACAGGCACGAATATTTAAAATTGGATAACCTTATGTTTGATCTGAAGTGAAATTCTTTGTTTGTAACACTATTGCTGTACCTTGTTGTTCTCAGTTTATTACAAAGCTGTTTTCACGACTTTCATTTGGCGCGGTTAATGGGAATAATTCACGAAGTCTGGCTTAGATAGAGAATAACTTCCCTTGCCATTTTTCCCTCGTCGTGTCGTGGGGCCTGTCGTATGTTGCAAGGGTGAGCAGTATTGTCTGTATTTTTTCACCGCGTTGCAGGTGTGTTGGGAAATGAATAGGCGGACAGACTGGCTGGCTCTGCACAGCTTGGTGGAATACTGATGCATGATAAGGCAGACTTGGTTAGTGCCTTGTGGGAGAACGTGTTCAGTTCGAAGGAGCAGATGGATCACCACAGTCTGGTGAGATTGATGCAGTTGGGGGTGATGAAAGGTTCTGGCAGATGCTCGAGGCTCAGAGGTAAGGTAAGACAGACGTTTAATCAGAAAGCTACTGGCACCATTAGTATCGGAACTCTTCGCTGGCTGCTGAAGATGGGGGCGGAGCGATTATGGGAATGCCCCGAGTGCTGTGATGTCGGTTCTTGAATCAAATCAAATCAATAAATGTCTGCTAACAACAATCCAGTCAAATATGAGTCTCTTCTTACTGTTACGTATTTCACGTGAAAATGAATATTTCCTGTTAGTACGTATAATATCATTATAGTTGCCAAACAAGGCTCCAAAACAGACGGTATGATAACGATGACTGAATTGACGGTGAACGACTATTCTGAGTGTCATACTTTTGCGTTCTGGTCAAGATCACACGGGCGGCCTTTAATTTCCTTGAATCATGTTTGATCCGACACGATATGGGTTTGAATCTACGACCTTTGGGCCCCAGGAGAGCGTCTAATCGCTACACCACGGTGGTAGGACCGTCTTAACGCATGGGCCTATTTGTGTCCATGTGGGTGGGTGTCGTAGGGGCCTCAGCACACTGGTTTGCCCAAAATGTTGTTAAGACAGCACTGCACGGTGGCTCACTTTCTAATCAAGAAATAAATCAACTACAGGACCTTGCACAACCAACCCCCGAATGTTTTGCATGTTGTGGGTTTTTTCTAGGCAAATTTACGTCCAGTAGTTTGCCATTGCTCCTGAATGGTCGGCTTCTCGATACCACTGTCGAAACCAATGCAAGACGTAAGGCCCGCAGCTGGGATCGAATCTGGCACTACGGCATTTCAAAGAGCATGTTTCTAGCTATAAAATCGTATCATGATATATGGAAGCGAAATCATAGAAAATTGGTCGATTAGTAAATATTTATTTGGAAGCTGCGATGTGCTTTTATAGACGAATTATAGGAATACCCTGGACAGATACAAAGAGTAATGCAGATCTCTTGAAAGAAACTGACTCAGAAAGAGAATTGATTGCCCACATCAGAAAGAGAATTGATTGCCCACATCAGAAAGAGACAATCTATTCTTTAATCATTTCATGAGAAGGAGAAAACTGGACTACATCGTGACAGTAGAAATGTTGAAGAAGGAAAGAGGCACAGATAGATGGAGAGAGAGAGAGAGAGAGAGAGAGAGAGAGAGAGAGAGAGAGAGAGAGAGAGAGAGAGAGAGAGAGAGAGACGGAGAGAGGAGAGACGTTAGAAAGTATTGAAATCATGGTATGGGAGATCATTTGTATCAGAACTGACTGAAAGTCGACGAGACAGGAGTATCTTACACAGACATGACTGTCAGCTCCAAAAGCTTGAAGAATAAGAAGATTCGTTGGTACATCAGGCCCGTCGAACGAAACAATTCAGCAAGTGCAAATATTTCACTTCTCTCTCACCAGGTAACATTTTCATCAAGGAAGGATTCCACCAAAGCACGATTGAAATTAACGAATATGGCACAGTGGCTTCAGCAGCCACCGCCGTTGTCATAGAGATGAGAAGGCAGCCGCCGGCAGCCAATGCAACGTTTCAAGTCGACCATCCGTTCCTGTTCTTGCTTACAGATAATCGCCTACGATCTATTCTCTTCCAGGGAAAGTTCATTCAACCATAAGGAAATCATTATTTTCTCTCCACCCCCCCCCCCGTATTTGTGGTTGCTTTATTACAAGTAGCAAATCACATCCACGTATCTTGTTCGTTTTTAGTTTCGCCATCTCTAAAAACTTAGATTTCCGGGATTGTTTCAAACTTTGATTTGTGAGAGTGCTTTTTTTTTTTTGGGGGGGGGGGGGGGGTAGGATGGGGACTGGGTGTGGGTGTGTGAGTGTGAGTGTGTGTGTGTGAGTGGGTGGGTGGTTGGGTGTGTATGGTGTGTATGTGTGTGTGTGTTCATTTATAATAAATGATATTGATTGCAGAGAAGACATCACAAGCAGCAGGGATGCATGTGTGTGTGGGTTTGTGTGTGTCTGTGTGAGGGGTTTGTGTGTGTCTGTGTGAGGGGTTTGTGTGTGTCTGTGTGAGGGGTTTGTGTGTGTCTGTGTGAGGGGTTTGTGTGTGTCTGTGTGAGGGGTTTGTGTGTGTCTGTGTGAGGGGTTTGTGTGTGTCTGTGTGAGGGGTTTGTGTGTGTCTGTGTGAGGGTATGTGTGATGAAGAAGAAAAAGAAGAAGAACGAGGAGGAGGAGAAGAAGAAGCAGGATATGGAGGTAAATGCTGAATTAAGAACCGACATCACAGCACTCATGACATTTCTATTACCGCTTTGTCCCCATCTTCAGCAGCAAGCGAAGAGTTCCAATTCCGATAGTATCAGTAGCTGAATGACTGTAGATCTGTCTCGCCTTTACCTTGAGTTTGAGCGCTAATCTCCTCAATTCGTATTGGTTTATCTCTTGCCTCCGCATTGTTCATTCACTCCCAAAGGGCCCCACAACATCTAGTTTTTCATACCTCAATTTACCGCCAAGTGCTGTAGAACCGGCCTGTTTATCCGCCTACTCATTTCCCAACACACATGACCTGGAGAAAATATCCAAAGATTACTAACTACCAGGGACTCTGAAGTGATGCTTGCAACTCTGCACGAAGCATGGCTGTCACCACTTTTTTCAACGAGCTCGTTCAGTCAGTTGAGGAGAAGGAGGAGCAGGAGGTTACGGGAAGAAGGGAGAAAGGAAGAGAAGGAGATTACGGGAGGAAGGGAGAAAGGAAGAGGAGGAGAATTGAATGGTAATGAGGATGAAAAACTAAAAAAGCGAACATACTAAACAATTGCCTTCATGTTTGCCAGAGATCGGGAAGACCCGGAAACTCACGTTTAACTCCAGTGCCCTCTAGCGCACCTTCTTGAACGGTGACGTCACCAGCCCCAGTGAATTACCGTGAACACTGAAAGGTGAGATCCATCTATCTCTGGGCCTCCTGATTCTGTGGCTATCTCTGAAAGTTGACTGTTGCCACTAGAAGATTTCCAGGCCGTCGGTCTGGTGTGATTTCATCTCTGCGATAAGTTCAGAGCAATTGGGGCGTGAGTACCAGCACTGGTGTTTACCGTATACTGCCAAAGCCAAACACAACCCCGTCTGTCTGAGTCTGGCAGATCTTCATCAGATATTGTTGACATTATTACAGCCCTGTACTGTAAGTGTTTCTCTGTACACTAGAGATTAGTGAATGCGTTTAACAATTGCCCACACTTAAACACTTGACAGAAAAGAACATTGAATATGATCAGAACTTATTTGTAGACCAAAAGAAAGCTTTCGACAGTGTAGTAAAACAAAAGTTAGGGAAAGTAATGGCTCGATATGGAGTTAATGAACATCTCATTGAAGTCTGCAAAAGCTTATATAGTGACTGTAGAAGCGTAGTTAGAATAAATCCGGGAACATCTAAACCATTCAAAGAAACACCTGGAAAAAGACAGGGATGTGTCTTATCCCCACTCGTGTTTATCACCTACAATGACAGCATCAGCAAGGATGCCAGGCCCAGGAACGGAAATAATAGCAACATCAACGAATTACTTTTTGCCTGATGACCAGGCCTTGATTGCGGATACAGCAATGAATTTGTACCAGCATCTGACATCCATGTATACCAAAAGACGAGAGGGACGTAGAGCTAGAGGTAGACCCAGAACAATATAACAGAAACTCTACATTACAACGATGTGTCTTCGGTCGAAGCAGCCGGAAAAGCACGAAGCAAGATCTTATATCTCCATCGACACCCGAAGGGGTATAAAATAGGACGTAAAGAAGAAGAAGTTTAACAATTTCAGAATTCTCGAGTACGAGAATTGTTTCCTCGGCGGACGGCTATTAGTCGCCTTTACGTTTTCAGACAGTAGAATGAGAGTTGCACAGTGGAAGATATTTGTTTCACTACAGAATATATCCAGTTGGCAGTCGGTACACTGAAGACAACCTTTAGTGTGGAGACGGCCCACAGTAGTTTTATTTTATAAAGTTTTGTATATTTTACATAAATATTGTAAATTTTACATAAATGTATATTTTACATAAATATTTTATATTTTACATAAATATTATATATTTTATATTATAGTAAATGATCCGTGGGCAACCATTGATTGATAAAAGTCAAGTCAAGGACCCTTATCCACGTCTGCAGGCGTATTGGGCATATAGGGCTAGATCTTAGTATAATGTATAGACCAAACAGTAGTCAGTGCAGGATGTGGTAAACATCACGCCGGCCGCCTTTACTTCCCAAGACTTTACCTGCAACCTATACAATGCCCAATCGACTTGGAGATCACTGTTGCCAAAAGTCCAGCTCCTTCAGGACCTGAGGCTACCATCGTTGGAGCCACTACATCACGACGGCTCCTGTGTCTGGCTGATGATGGCACCAATTTTTTGTTGGGAGGGGTAGGCGGGATGGGGTGGGAAAAGGGGGGGGGGAGGGGTCATGTTAGCCCTGGTCGAAATACAAGGTAACTTTTTAAAGTTGAGCAGTTTGTGTTTTGTACACATATAAATGTCAGTGCAATTATTTAAACTATAGTTCCCTTCGGCAACTGCAGACTTTTGCCGACGTTAGGAACATTCGTGGAACCCATTCTTTGACACGTCTTTCAGCAGCTGGGTGGTTTTGGTGATAACGTCCCCAGCATCCTTGAGGTATTGCCCTTTCAATGCCAATTTCAGGCGAGAGAACTAGAAAGAGAAAAAATCATACGATGCCAGATTGGAAAAATAGTCTGGCAACTTCAAACTGACATCCCAACGCCTGCGACTATTTTCTGGACACCAACTCTTCTGTGAGCACAAACAATGTTCCAAACATGCTGAGTACTGTCACTGTTTATCGCAGTAGGCGGTCGCACAACGTTCCAAACATGCTTACTGTCACTGTTTATCGCAGTAGGCGGTCACACAACGTTCCAAACATGCTAAGTACTGTCAATGTTTATCGCAGTAGGCGGTCGCATAACGTTCCAAACATGCTGAGTACTGTCACTGTTTATCGCAGTAGGCGGTCGCACAACGTTCCAAACATGCTAAGTACTGTCACTGTTTATCGCAGTAGGCGGTCGCACAACGTTCCAAACATGCTGAGTACTGTCACTGTTTATCGCAGTAGGCGGTCGCACAACGTTCCAAACATGCTAAGTACTGTCAATGTTTATCGCAGTAGGCGGTCGAACAACGTTCCAAACATGCTAAGTACTGTCACTGTTTATCGCAGTAGGCGGTCGCACAACGTTCCAAACATGCTAAGTACTGTCACTGTTTATCGCAGTAGGCGGTCGCACAACGTTCCAAACATGCTTGCTGTCACTGTTTATCGCAGTAGGCGGTCGCACAACGTTCCAAACATGCTTACTGTCACTGTTTATCGCAGTAGGCGGTCGCATAACGTTCCAAACATGCTGAGTACTGTCACTGTTTATCACAGTAGGCGGTCGCATAAGGTTCCAAACATGCTGAGTACTGTCACTGTTTATCACAGTAGGCGTTCGCATAACGTTCCAAACATGCTGAGTACTGTCACTGTTTATCGCAGTAGGCGATCGCACACCACCTCTATCGTCCATCGTCTGTGCTAACACTGTTTATCGCAGTAAGCGGTCGCAAACCACGTCTATCGTCCATAGTCTGTGCTAACACTGTTTATCGCAGTAGTCGGTCGCATACCACGTCTATCGTCCATCGTCTGTGCTATCACTGTTTATCGCAGTAGGCGGTCGCATACCACGTCTATCGTCCATAGTCTGTGCTAACACTTTATCGCAGTAGTCGGTCGCATACCACGTCTATCGTCCATCGTCTGTGCTATCACTGTTTATCGCAGTAGGCGGTCGCATACCACGTCTATCGTCCATCGTCTGTGCTATCACTGTTTATCGCAGTAGGCGGTGGCATACCACGTCTATCGTCCATAGTCTGTGCTAACACTGTTTATCGCAGTAGTCGGTCGCATACCACCTCTATCGTCCATCGTCTGTGCTATCACTGTTTATCGCAGTAGGCGGTCGCATACCACGTCTATCGTCCATCGTCTGTGCTATCATTGTTTATCGCAGTAGGCGGTCGCATACCACGTCTATCGTCCATCGTCTGTGCTAACACTGTTTATCGCAGTAGTCGGTCGCATACAACGTCTATCGTCCATCGTCTGTGCTATCACAGCTTCCTGGAAACGCTTGTGCCACTCAAAAACTTCATCACTGCAGTATCATATGCTTTTCAAACTTACTGTCTCTGAGGGTTATTTCTCAAGCAAAGCACAGATCCAACATTTGTGCGTTGCTCAGCCAAGAACGTTTACAACTGCGACGACGCTAGGTGACACTAACAAACTTGTGTAACTTTTGTTCAGGAAAAAACGTGAAGGTCACGCTTGCTATGTCGCTTCATCAAGACCAACATCAAATTATAAAACACAAACCTTCATGTCAGGATTACTAATTCAAACGTGAGTTTACTTTACCGAGACTCTTTTGAAGTCAGCTGGTACACTTGTTGCTGCAGCGTCAGTAGCTTTGACTTCCGGTGATAGTGACAATAGCTTTCTTTAGACTGTGATGTTGTCCCGTGTGTCCTACCAGCGCTATCTGTCTCCATGACAACCGCCAGCCAA